AAATCTAATGAGTACATCAAATTTGTAATTTTGAAGCCGAGTTCGAAATCTAAGTTGTTTGTCAGGTCAGATAATGCAACTGAATGGAATAAGGGCAAAATATATTTGAATTGGTTAATAATTTAAAATTTAAAATTGGATATTCTAGATTTAAATTTTAAATTTTTAATTTTTAATTGTTGTAATACACTTTTGAAAATTTGGAAGTATATTTAAAAAAAAAATTTACGTGATTCTAGATTTAAATTTTAAATTTTTAATTTTTAATTGTTGTAATACACTTTTGAAAATTTGGAAGTATATGGTAAGTAAATACTCCTTGAACTAACTTTTGCCACGAAGTCCACAATTCTCATTGGAGGAAAGGGTTGAAACAATTTCGTATTTACGCTCTGACTTTTTCCAAACATAAAATAATTGACAAAAAAAGAAAAAGAAATGTGACAAGGGCTTTGAATTTTGATCAAATTAATTTTCTTTGTGGTAGGTAGGCTACTAACTAAAAAGCTCCGAGGTGGGTTCTTTGAGATAGACACTTCAATACTCAAGTCAGTAATAATCAGGTATATCTTTATACTAATGAAAAAATAGCTTTAGGTTGATTTCAATTATCTTTTTTAGTGGCCCCTAAAAGGTATTTATAGGTTTTCGTGAGGTATCCACGTGACTTACTTAGCAGCATAATCGGAGTGCGATGTGTTCCTTAAGGCGGTAAATTCGAAATCGGCAACAAATTTGGGATCAAAAAATTGTGTAATAGATCAGGTGTGGGCATGTCTACTATATTTACCATGTAGTCATTTAACCAAAAATACTGAATTTAACTTCACTTCAGCTATTAAAAAATTGTTACAGTTTCGAAATTAAAGATTTCGGACATATCCTTACAGATAGGTAGGCTACTAACTAAAAAGGGGATGTGTATTGTGTATGACCACAAATGAGAAAGGAATCAAAATAAAATCAGGCACCGATTCCGCGTCGGTTGTCGGAAACTCGGAATGCCCATCTCCAAGGCAAGAGTCAAGGGTCTAATTGTCGTCTTTCTTGGGCCTGGACTGGTTGGGTTCCTGCAAATTCGCAATTCCCACCTGCCCTAACCCACAATCCATAGTTCAAAGCCTAATCGTAGACCTTTTTGGCCCTCCTTACTTTTCTTGTATATGGGGTTCAAAATGTTTTATGTGTTAGAGAGAGAGAGAGAATATTTGGCCATCATTTTAGATGTTTGTTAACATGTCTTAATTAGTTCAATAGGAGATTAATGAGTGATGATGATTCATTCATCAGGAGGATAAGGATAGTAAAAATTATTATTACAACTTAAGTCATGCTTAGATAAAAATAATAACTTCATCCCTCACTTAAAGAGAATTGAAGATTTTAAAGGATACTAAATACATACATGCATTATTCATAGATATACATATTTTTTATTAATTAGTTTTCATACTTTTTACCCTAGCGGGGATGTTTCCAAGGTCTTACCCTCCATTTGAATCTGAATACAACCCCCATCTACTTGAATCTGAATACAACCCCCATCTACTTCTTTATTGGTTTCCCTCTTGTACTCATACTTACTTGATGCCCAAAAGAAGGCCCCTAAATTCAGGGTAGATATCACCAGAAGGAATCCATAATAGTAGTCCAAGTGACTGTCATTCAAATTGTCACCAATCCAGCTCTTGTGTGCTCCCCTCCCTGTAATTTTGTCTACCATTGTCACCAGGAAGCTGTTCAGGAAGTACCCAATTCCAATTCCCCTAGTGAAGAATGTTGTGCCCAGGCTTTACATCTCCTCTAGGGACTGATCATAAAAGAATTCCAACAATCCAATGGCATTAAACACATCAGCCACTCCAATCAGGACGTATTGAGGTAGCAACCAGAATATGCTCATAGGCACTACGTCTTGAGGCCCTACTATGTGGTGTACTCTTATCACATGCCTCCTCTGGACCTCCACAACATATGCAATCCCAATAGCTATGCTTTGGATCACAAATCCAATGCCTAGCCTTTGAAGGAGGGATATGCCTCTAGGATTTCCTATTTTCCTGCGCATCAAGGGCACGAAATAGCGATCATATGTTGGCACAGAGAGGAGCATGGACAGGGTCACGAAGCTTCCAAGCGATGCTGCTGGAATTTGGAAGTTTGAGCCTAGCCTTCTATCCAATGTGGTGCCCTGTTTGACAAAAAGAGTGTTGATTTGTGCCCATATTGTGCTAGGAATCAAGGTCACCACCCATATCAGTAGCACCCCGAGAACAACTTGGTCCCTTCCACTTGAGTTATGGTGCACGGTGGCCTTGAGGCATCTTTTACTGCAGCCTTGTCAAGGAACCTATGAACAACGATGTAACTTCTTTCTGCACTTAGTCGTCCATCACTAGTTTTTATTTTGTTTAATATCCAGCAGATCAATACATTATCTTGAAGACACCATTACGAATATGTTTTACTAGTGGCTAATGATTGCATCATAAGCACTAGCTAATATTAATTACTATAATTCAAGTCATTT